ATCAAACTGCCTCCTGCATCCACGTTAGCAACAAGCAGGACTAAGAAGGGACTGGGTACCGGAATTTTCAGACTCCATCCTGAAGACAGAAGAAATTCTAAGTAGAAAATCCTGAAAACAGAACGGTCAGGGATCGACCCTTCCGACCTGTCGTGGCTGACAATCAGAGGTTTTGTTTCAAGGGATAATTGTCCCTTGAGGCCGGTTGTGTTTCAGAAACGCTCCTTCTCTTATAATGGGAAAAGTACTTCTATCAGGGTGATTGCTAGCTGTTAGGACTTTCACAGTAACAGGTTTTCATCATTAAAAATTGACCACGTTTTCTACTGGTAGTCGGTGTTTTTTCGCACTTTTCATAACGTCACATGATCTGTTCAAGGCTGGTTTTGCATATGAACTTTATTATTGTAAGATTATCTGGTTCTGATTCATCTGGCATTCCTCAGCAATTCACTTCGATGTGCCAAAGGGCTCTCAAACCTCTCATTCCTCAGTGGTCGGCATTGGATGAGTGATTAGCTATGCTAGTTAGTTGTATGGCGCACCCCAGAAGGGCGCCTGGATCACACTTTCGCAAAGTCTGTGAGAAGGTGTTATAAAAACCATTTCTTCACTGATTTCTGCAAATTAAAAAAGCTTACCGGAAGATTCTGTCTATAAGATATCATACTATACCAGTAAACATAAATAATAGTAGAAATATCAGTGTGATAGTGAACAGCTCTAGTTTGTATAAAATATTTCACAAAACTGAATTTTTCGTAATATTTTTTAGTCTTGATGACCTAAAATTGAGTGCAATCGTTGAGTCCAAACACTTCCACATCATTGCTCGACTGGTAATCCCAACTAATCTTCAAAGTACAGGACTGATTGACTTGTCAGTGCAGATCGGTACATGTTGACAATGTTTAGCTCGTACCGGTCGTTCGCACAAGCCAACCTGGCCCATAAAAGGAAAACCCTCCATCTTAGTTGCTTGATCCAGTGACGTGCAGTATTTCTAAGGCAGAATGTTCCGCGAACCTCCTCTTGGCCGAGCTTTCTGAAGCGATCTGTTTTCTCCCTAAGTGAGATTGGGAAACTGCTTTTAGGGAAATAGCTGAACCTAGTCAAGAGCAGCTACTTCCGGCATCTTACTCGCTCCAGTTCCTTTGTGCTTTTATTGAAGTTGCAGCATGTTCCAAGGAATCCTTTCAGTGCATTTTTGACGAAGAATTCGGTCTTCTTCGTCATACAAAGAGGAAACCGTTAACGATGACGAAGCTGGAACAGGTGCGTTCCGTCCGAAAGCAGTGCCATCCAAAACGGCTCCTGGGCTTCGTACCGATTCTGAAATGGCTGCCACAGTACAATGTCAAGGAGAACCTCGTCAGAGACATCATCGGTGGTCTGACGGTCGGCATTATGCATGTTCCTCAAGGTGGGCCCGTTCTACTCATCGTTTACTTATTCGCAACATTCAGACAGACATGAGGCATCCTTGTGATTGAAGAGGAGGAAAGTTCTTCATAGCCACAGGTTTCATAAGAAGTAGGGATAACTAGTTACCACGCACTATGGTTTCAGCATTAGCACCAATTAAATTTTCAATTTATTTCGATAGAAACACCATTCCGTAGGAATTGGTTGTATGAGCTATTCGCTCTACTAATTTGTTTGTTCTGCCGTGGGTAGGTCTAATTTGAACTGGCGAGACTTGCAGCTGCTGGAGGTCTGTTCCTCTCGGCTGAGGTTGAAGTGTGTGGACTCAGAAAGTACTGAACGGCGTCCTCTCCCCTGAAGAAACTCTGCATATTTAACTTTGTTGCGAAAAAGTTTGCAAATGACAGAATCCTCTTTGGTCCTTTGATCTGATGCAGCCTTGCAGTGAAAGCAAAAAACATAAGTGCCACTTTGAGGTCTCGCCTCTAATGAGAGGAACGAGTAAATAATCAAATGGTTGGATTGTTGAAGAAAGGGGTACAGTAAGCTGCTGCAGAGATGACATTTCAGAATGCAAGAGAAATCGAAAAGGAGAAACAAAAAACCACAGCAATCTTTTCAGGAATGGCTTACTCGTCTTTGGCGGGAGTTCAACCTGTGAATGGTCTATATACCTCTCTGTTTCCAGCTTTTTTCTATTTGCTTTTTGGAACGTCAAGGCATGTTTCGCTAGGTAAGTTCAGTGCAGATCTCCTGTTGTCGCCATCATTGTAACAGTTGTTTTAAGCAGTTCATAGTTGCTCTTTCGATAGCCACATTCACTCCAATCAGGCATATATGTAGATAATATCACTGGTTTCTCATGCTTTAAGGTGTTTTCGCTGTTGTGAGCTTAATGACCGGTAGTTGTAACCAACGAGTATCGGGTATCTTGGAAGCCAGGGCAATGGACAATAATGGAAGCCTCATCGATGGCTTGAGTGAGGAGACGAAAATGCAAACATCAGTAGCTATCGTTACTTCCCTAGCCATGTGTGTTGGATTAATACAGGTAATTACTACCACTACCGTTTTACAGTATAGTCAAAAAATCGCTGAAAGTCTTTGTAGAAAGCAAAAAGGTCTCGTAGTTCATGAATCCATCTTGTGCCTCATAATTTTGCACATTGAGCAAGAGAAAGAGCGCACTTGTGATTGGCTAGCTCGACGAACCAATCACAGGTGATTGGCTAATTCGATCAACCAATCATAAGTGTCCTAAGCGAGCTTCACATAGCTTCGCACAAAATAAAAATCAGTTCCTGTCATATTCCCATGTCGGTCTGTTTCTGTGCAGCAGTATTCCAATTTAGGTAGCCATGGCTCTTCTT